TGGGAAGGGTCTTTGCGCGGGGTGGGAATAAAGTGTCCCAATAATATCCACCACCTGCGCCGGGCATGATTTTGTAAGAATTGGCAGACCGCACAGGAGTGCCTGCTAAATCTAGTCACATCCTGCCAGGTTCTAGGCCCCACCCCTTAAGCCTGACTGGCAGAACTCAGAATCAGGGATAGTCTCACCAGGGCAGGAAAAGCCTTCCTTTCCTGACATCCTAGTCCCCAGATCCTGTGAATATGTAAGACTCCATAGCAGAGAGAAATGAAGGTGACAGAGAGAATTACGGTCGCCAGCCAACTGTCCTGAAGCAAAGGGAATTAGCCTGGTTGGGCAATGAACCTGAGGTGAGCACGCGACTCCTCTAGCAGGAGGTAGAGGAGGGCTGGGAGGGAAAGGTGGCAGCGCACCTGAGGCCCGACACTGCCAACTTTAAATATGAAACAATGGGACCACAAGCCAAAGGATGCTTGCAGTATCCACAAGCTAGAGGGTGAAAGAAAACAGTCCTCCCTTTTACTTGTCCAGAAGGAGCTCAATACCCTGACGTTAGCCTGATTAGATTGTTTTGGGCTTCTGACTTTGAGAATTAGAAGAGAAACATTTCCGTTGTTTTAAGTCACTAGGTTATGATCATTTGTTATAGGTGGAACAGGGAATTAACACACGTGGGTTCCTGGAGAAGGATTGTCTATATAGGGGAACAGAAAAGTGTGCATGAGCCAGGGGGCTGGAAGAGAGGAGCTGAGAAAGCTGCGGTGCTGCGGCCAGAGGAGCAGGTCCCTCGCCATCAGGGCACAGCACAGTCAGTCCTGCCCCACCCTGCAGCTTGCTCCAGACTTCCCTTCTGGCCCCAGATGCCCCTTCTGTCCTTGTCCTCGCCTATCACCTCCTCAGAGACCAAAACGGTCATTTCAGTGTGCAACTTCATCGCAAGGGTCCTAGAAGTCGTGTTTCCCAATCCTTGAGTACTAGTGAGAACTACAGTGCCCAGGACCACAGGGACCACAGGGCTCATAGAGCCAATATGGACCATATGGACCACAGGACCACAGGGCTCATAGAGCCAACATGGACCATGTGGACCACAGGGCTCACAGGGACCACAAGACCACAGGGCCCACAGGACCCACAGGGACTGGTCATGCTCCTTTACGCACACTGCCCTGACAGGTCTCCTGTTTATCAGCTTCTGTATCCACTGTCAGCCCTGCTGGTACTTTTGCCTAAAGCTCCAGAGCAGGAGCAAAGCAAGGGGCTGGGCAGGAGCCCTTGATGCCTTGAGTGATTCTCAAAGATGTTAACCCCGTTTTTCAGACTCACTAAAGCCAAAGGGCAGCGAACTCCCTTCCCCGCTGCCCAGCGTATTTAAGAGTTCTAAATGCCATGTCAATATCTGTGGGGCTGCACAAACATCTTCAGGCTTACTCACCGATCAAGGCACTGTGGAATCTTTGGTGCAAAACTTTTGGCATTTGCTGAGACTTGATGAAAATAAGAACTGAAAACTGTCTCCACCTTAAGCAGATAGAACGTGCGGCCTTTGCTTTTGTGGATGTAACGGATCTGCAGAGGGCTGCAGGAAGGAACTCCACAAACACCCCAGAGGAGCTCACAGGAGACTACCCAGGAGCAGGAGGGGCAGACAGCCTGGCAACAGCCCTCAGGGCCAGGAAGTGGGGCGTGCCAACAAGCTGCCACTCAACACAGACCTCACAGGCCCGCTTTCTCACAGCCCAAAGTTCAGCTGCCTGAGTGGACCCTGGAGGCAGTCCCTGTTGCGTGTGCCCTGAAAGCGAATATTAGAAAGGGAAGCCTCCACTCATATGTAGGAAGCAGCAACAGCCTAGCGTTTCCCTAAAGCCCGCGGAGGCAGGGAGTCATGGGGTTTCCGGCTTCCCTGCAGATTGCACTGCAGGCCCACAGCAAGTACGGGAGACTGACTCACACAGCAAAACCATCCATCCCAGTGCGGCCACCTCAGAGCTGGGGAAAGCAGATAACGGCTCCCCCGGAGTCATGTCAACTGTTTTCTCAGAACATGTCAACAGGACCACCACGGCTGTGAGAACTGGATCCCAACATAAATACCTCATGGGCTTAGCAACCCAAGAGGTTAAACAGCAGAAATCTGAACAAATGTAAGATCAAAGCCCTCAAACAGATCACAGGGTAGTCTCGTCCCGGTCCCTAGAACCTGACGTGTGAGGCTTCCTGTGAGTGCCAAGACAGGCTGACAGACATGAAGAAGTTGGGAACTTGAGTGCCCTTATATGGGAGAGAAGAGAAGGGTGGCGTAGAGACTTGGCCCTGGAGCACTGCAGCTCCAGGAAGGAAGAAGCTGGAGGAGTTGAGGAGCAGCCACTTCCCAGGGCTTCCCAGGGAGTGGGACTGTGCCGGCACCAGCATCTTGGCCCAGTGATCCTAACTTCAGACTTGTTACAGAGACATGAGAGAATTCTCCTGTTATCCCGAACACTGCACTGGGGATTTTCTTCTGCTTGTCACAGGAAATTAAAGCACCGGTTATCTGCTTTGCCCTGCTACTGTCCCCTAGCAGACACTCACAGAGGACACCTAGGACGTGCTCGGGACTATGATGGCATCCAAGGCTGAGAAGGCTCCGAGAGTGGTGTACACAACATAGGTGATGGAACACCAAACACTAGTGGCCCTAGGAGGGACCATCCTGGAAGTTTGTGGGCCGTGACCTTTGTGCTCAGACCTGGAGACCGAGGCTAGATCTCAACAGGCCAAGGTGGGAAGCAGTCCAGCCCAGGATACTGAATGACAGGGAGGGCTGGAAGAGGGGCCCACAAATTAAGCAAGGGCCAGACCCTGGCAATGCACGCTGGGAGAGGGGGCTAGACCACTGCTCTGTTGAAAGGCAAGGCCCTCTGTGCTGAGAAGACAGGCCATCCAAGAAACAGGTTTGGAGACAATGCAGAAACCGGATGCAACAGTGGCTAGGGCACTGAGGAGCAAGCGCTAAGCTGTCTTGATCTGGCACTGACTGCTCTGAGTGTGGGAAAAGAGAAAGGTCGGAGCCAGTCAGGAGGAGGGAGTGGTGACAGGGCAGGAAGCAGCAGAGGGATATGGAGAAGGAAGAATTCAGGGTCCCTGAGCAGCAGGCTCCCCAACCATAATTCTGCTTTCCTCCCTTCAATTCTGTGCAGTTCCCTTCTGTGGTGGAGGATGGAGTCCCAGAAGTCCCGTGTTCCCATTGCAACAGATGGGAGATTGTGGCTTTGTATGGTCCCGTGACTCCTGCTGCTGTCCCTACTGGATGAGAAGCTACCACCATCCCACTGGGGCCTCAGCCAGGCACAGCCATTTGCATGTGGAGCCTGGTACTGGGGCTGGAGGAACGACAGGGTCCGAGGGCCGCTTTGTTTTGATAAACCAGGAAAGGTTTGGCTGCCTCTCTCAACTTGGTCTCTAGGGGAGGCCAGGGTTTTCTGGGAGGCCCATCAAGGTGATATGACTTTGATCGGCTCTAATTGGGACCAGGACCCAGGGTGACTACAGCAGTTTCCTCCTGAAAAGCCAGGGTTAGGGACTTAGAGAGCCCGTTTGCTAAGGGCCAAGCCCATTAGCAGCCCGGTGAAGTCCACTAACTTCTTTGGGTCCCAGCCATTTAGGAGAATGGGATAATGCCCTCGAGCTAGCCCATCTGACGGCGTTGTTTATGTAAGCACAGAGAAAGGAGTTTGCCTGTTGATACAGAAGTGTATAGAAAGGGGAAGAGCCGCTCTTGAATGTGGTCTGTGACCCCAACTGGCAGAGGCTGGGGAAAGAGGAGCCCAAGGGTGTGGTGGTGGCAGTGTGTGCCCACCACCTCCGGGAGCCTGGGTGCTGTATTTCTCCGGCATCCGCCACAGGGCCATCCTTGCCGCAGGAAAGAGGACGCTCTCGCTGTGCAACCTGGCAGGCCTCCCAGGTGTTGGCAAGGCCCCGGACAAGAGTGTTCGTGGAGGCCATTTCCCATATGCCTCATATTTAAAAGGCATAAATCAAGCTAACAAACCGTTAAATGAAATATGTTCCATCCTCCTACCTTGTTAAATACACTGCGCACGCAACTAGGCCAGGATGGAATTTTGAATTGTGGGGTTCCTTGATGGTCTCTGCCAGGGTACACAGTGCGGGAAACTCCACTTGCCTGTCTGTGCCCTAACCTGCTCCACTTGTTGTCATGTGAATACACACACACACACACACACACACACACACACACACCTGTGAAGCCTTATATATCTTACAATCAAGCTCGTTCAAGTCCCTACCAAGAGTTCACCATCAGGGGTTCACAAACAGGTTATTAGGGCATCTTCAAGAGGGCAGCCCTGCGGTAGAGCCAGAAGAAGCTCAGCTCCATCTGGGTGGGCCTCCAGGGTGGAGGAAGGAGCCCCACGGTTCTGTGGACTCACCCTGGTCCATGGGATAATGGGGAGAAGGCAGCAGAGGGCATCCTTTAAAGAATGGTGATCTCTATTCTCGGTGTCAAAGCTGACACACCACTGGTAGAGGGACAGGTTTTAAGGCTTTCATGGTGTTCAGTCTAGTGGCAAACTCAGGAGTCGACAGCCTGTCTGCCTTGAAAACACACTTCTCACACTCAAGAGTTAACACCACCAAGAGCAGCCTGTGGGGCTTCCATGTGGTTCATGTTACACAGATTGGGGAATAAAGGAGAAGTTGAGGGAGGGAAGGAAGGATAGGGGGATACTCCAACTGGCTGGCCCTGCACCCTTCTGGGCCCTGACACCCAGTGAGGCTTTTTAAGTGTCACACAAGGACCCACCCTCTGATGTCCTCCTCAACACAACCCCGCTGCAGCCCCAGCTGCAGAAGGGGCTGAGTCAACCTCTGTTGACTTATTCAGGTTGCTTTCTCAGAAGCATGGAGGTCACCCGGGCTGCTTTGGGGCAGAGAGTGCCCTCCCACGGCCACCCCATCTGCCGCCTGCTGTGGAGATGCAGACAGTGCAAACTCACCCGGCACCATCCCTGTCAGCGTCGGTGCAGAGTAGCTGCCCTGTCCAGCGGGGGGGACGTGTGGAGGGTACCCAGGGAGAGTCGTGCTTGCCAAGTCGCGGCCTGAAGAATCAAAGCAACATATCACAGGGTGAGCATCTCTGCAGCCTGATGTTTGGCCACAGCTCCCTGGACATTCTACACGTTTGTCACTTCTGGAAGCTGAACACCAGTGTGCCCTATTCCCCATATCACTCATACATGCTTACACACACACACACACACACACACACACCTCGGGGAGGTGGGACAATGTCAGTGCCACAAACCAGGCTGTGTACTCATGTGACTTTGATTGCTCTGCCTCCACCTTGTTGCCCCTGATTGGTTCTCAGCATACGGTCCATCCTCCTCCTGCCACATGTAGCCCACCATTGCCTTCCAAGACAGGCACACTCATCTCCCTCCTCCATTCCCAACACCGTGTGGTGGGAGGACATCAGACCCTCCAGCCCCCATAGTTGGCCTTGTATTGCATTTTCCATTCCAAGACCCAGATCTCTTCCTTTATTCAGTGAACATGAAGGACCTTTCTCCCAACCCAATATTGCCTTGCCGCTGGCACATGGAGGTCAAGACCCTCCAGTGGAGGCTCGCAGCTCTTGGAGAGCAGGGATGACTTCCTGCCCATCCCCATGGCCCTGCTAGACAGGTGGCAATCCATTAAGAGTCTTTCTCCTCAAGAATCATTGCAAGAAGAGCACGGAGAACTCCCCTTGGCTGACATTTTGGAGACGGCAAAACAGACTTGAAGCAGAAGGGGAGCAAGTGGCTCAGATCTCAGGGGGACCCATGGCAGAGCAGGTACCTTGTGGCACATAGTAGGCATTTTGTGCATAAGTCTATAGGGTAACTAAACATCCAAAAGGCTTATGGAAAGTAATCTCAAGGTAACTGAATGCCGTAAGCAAGGAAAGCACAACTGTGTTCCTGTCTGTGGCCCTCAAACCCTCCTGCAGGTTATATATGACAGAGAGACCAGTGACGAGATGTGGAAGCCAGACCTTGGCAAAGCACTGTGTTCTGTAGTTTCTGGACCCCAAGGGAAGCCACTGTCCTTGGGAAGAGAATTGGCAGCTTACCCTAAAAGGAAGGGGTGTGGCCACTGTCTGCCTCCCTGAGAAGTGGCGGGAAATAATGGAGGTTTGGAACTAGGGTGTGGACATCAAGGATAGGGAGAGGGGGAACAGAAGGGCCCGTGGGCTGCACACTGAGTGACTGCTGATCACGCAGAGCCGAGATGAGTCTCAGAGCACTTCCCATTCTTTCCTATAAACCAACTGCACACGTACGGCCTCTGAGCCCAGCCCCACTGGTGGCTAGAGGAGGGCCATCACTAACCAATGCCCCTCAAAGAACCCACCCCAGCATGTGGCATGAGAACGTGAGCATGCCCTGAATGATTCCACAGTCCTTCTGGGGCCATCAGTCAGTGACCATTCCCGAGGCGGCCCCATCTCACAGTCCACCAACCTTCCAGAACTTCCAGAACTCCAGACGCCCCCAAAAGGGGTCCCCTGCCCCTGCTCATCACTTCCCTGGCTTTGAGCTGGGAACCCTGGCTCAGGTGTCTTTACATGAGATATCGGAGTTAAGCAAACATTCCAGGATTAACGTTGGAGTCCATCATCCTCGGCATGAGTTGCAACCAGGCAATCCTCTCAAGGAGGGGCAAGACAGAAGCAAACAGTCGAGCTTGCAGGACCAGAGATGATGGAGGAGGTTTATCCCATTAAGCTCCCTGTACCTCTCTGCAAAGTCAGGGCTCCAAGTCTTTGTACCCTAAGGTCAGAAGGGCATAGGGCTAAAACATTTTAGTGAGAGAAGCCACTCGGCTGGAGCAGCAAGGGTCTTGGGAGTCCGGGCAGTCCCCGCCATTCCTGTTTAAGAAGAGAGTCAAGGGGGCTAGGGAGGCTCTTCTTGCCATTTTGCAGAAGGAAAACTGAGATCTGGTGGAGGAAGAGGAGCAACCAGCTTGGGGTCCACTGGACACAGCAGACTCCTCAGCCCAGGGCCTACCCTAGCTCAGGGTCCTGAGAAGGACAGTGTGTGCCCATGGAAACTCAGAGAGTCTGAGCGAGGGTGTCTGCCTCCTGGGATCCAGTTCATTCTTCAACAAGTGTCTGCCCTTTGGGTCGTGTTTGGTCAACAGTTTTTGCCGCTGGTACACAGTTTAAAACCTTGATCCTTCAAGCAAAGGTTCAGAAAATCAGAACGTTGGCAAAGAGCTCGACTCGGAAGGCCATAGGAAAAAGCAATAAAAGCCACTTGGGGAGAGGAGGAGGAGGAAGGAATCAATAACTAAAAGGGGAAACAAAAAGATAGGCACAGCCAAGGGTCAGTGTTTGAAAATAAAGTGACGACTATAGCCAGACCACCCTAAACAGCCCAGTCTTGTCTGAAAAGACAGACCCAAGTCAAGGTTTAAAACAAATCCCATAGATTTATCAAGATAAATGGGCCCAGGCTGCTGCTGAGGGCCATGTCTGGGTCTGTGGTCCAGCTGCAGCTGAGCTCAGTGTTAATGTCTGTGGCCAGCCTCACCACAGGGGGCCAAAGGAACCATGTGTGATGAAATCAGAGGGCCATGCTGAGCCAGGCCCGCCCTCGCTGACCCTGGGAAAACTGGCCCTGCCTCTCACTGGACACTGCAGCCACAGAGCTGGCCCCGACCCTCACAGGAGAGCTGGCCCTGATCCCCATGGGAGAGCTGGCCTCTGTACTTGTGAGAGAAGGCCCCAACCTACACCACAGGCAAGGGAGAACCGAACCTAAGGGCAAGGGCATAGGGGAGCTTGCTCTGCCCCCTTGCCTGAGTCAGGCATCCCCAGTGGCCTGGACTGACCAGCTCAGCTACCACCCAGGCGCACAGCCAGGGCTTCAGGTTGGCCCACCCTAACATCTACTCCACCTAAGACCTGCTAGAGCTCATAAAGGGACTGGTCCCATGGAACAATACCCTCAGGATATCCCAGGGGAGATTCAGTGAGGACCCAGTGATGATGGTGTACCAGAAACCAGAGGCTTTGAACCAGACCAGTGAACATTTGCTAGTGAAGCTGATGGGACCAAGTGTGTACTGTGTGACACACCACTCCCAGTGCCAGCAGGACGAATGGAGAGGTGTTGCAGAGGCGGGAAAGACAGAGAAGGAAAGAGGTTTTTTTTTTTTTTTAAATTTTGTTCTTACTGGTTTGTTTGCTTGCTTGTTTTGTTTCATTTTGGATTGATTTTTAAAAATCTTCTTTTTGGAAGGGCATGAGGAAAAGATAAGGGGGGACTGGGTGGTAGGCAGAATTAGGGTGCATGATGTGAAATTCTTAAAGAATCAATAAAGAAATTATGTTAAAATTTTAAAAAGATAAAGAAGGAACAAAGATATAACTAAAATAACAAAAAATAATATTCATAAAGAAGAATATGAACTGCATACTTATAAACATGAAATTCTGGACAAAAGGTTTGATTTTTCTAGGAAAACATAAATTACCATAATTAACACAAGAGCAGCCAGAAAATACCAGCAGCCTCATAGTGTTGGGAGAGGGAGAACGAATGTCTTTATTAAGCAATAAATGCCTTGTCCACTTAGCTTCCTGAGCAAGTTTCTATTTGTTCTCGTTTGGGGGAAATTGCTTTAAATCTTCAGGGGATATATATATTCTTATGTTATTAAATGCCCTAGTCTATAAACCAAGAGAGTCTTCCCAATTCATTCCACCAACCTGGCCTAACTGTGATGTAAGCACTTAGCAGACACAGCAGAGGGATTAAGGGTTAAAGGTCAGTATCATGACTCACTCACGTGGTACTAAGTTACTTCGTTCTTGCTGCTGTCAACAGTGGGAGCAAATGATCACTATCACACCAATCGGACAACTCGGGGGAGGCAACGACAGGCTAGGACCAAACGAGTTTCATTCCGGGTATGAAAGGATGGTTCAGTATCAACATATTGGTTAGAACTTCCTATCACTATTTAAAAAAAAAAAAACAACTGGCTGTATGAAAGAGATGAAAAAGACATTGGCTACTATCCAAACTTCGTTCTTTATATGTTAGTAAATAAGATCGAAGTACACTCTGACCTTACACTGATTTTAAAATAGTCAATATTTTATATTATACTTCATTGTTGAAACACTTGGAGGATTTCCTATCAAAGCCAAGAATGTGACAAGGAAATTTATTAGCAAGGGAAGTTATTCTGAAAGTTTCAGCCAATACAATAAGACAAGAGGAGTTACCGGAGGATGTGGAGAAATGGCAAACAGAACTAGCCAGCTGGATTTGCTTTGGGCCTGGAAAAGTAGCTCCCCTGCTAGAGCCAGGGAAAGAGCTGGTGGGATTGTCACGTCATGGATGGCGTCCATAGCCTGAAAGACTAGCTCCCTCCACCTCTGACATTAAGAAATCTTCAGCTTAGTTTTCTGCGGCTTCCTCAATCTGAGCTTCCCCAGCTCTGTCAACACGTGCCAGTCACCAACCTGCTTGCACCCTCAAGCCTTTCCTCAGGGGGTTCCCATTTCAAGCAGCCTTCCTCAGGTTCCTACCCATTTGACGTCCAGTCCAGCCCCAAGTCACCTGCAGGAGTTCACTTTTCCATACAGCCTTTTCTGGTCCTTCAGAAGGTTTCCTGTCCCCTGTCCCAGAGCAATGGAAACACACTGGAGGGGAATGGACAAAGCAGAGGTGATGAGATTTTAATGACAGAACAGCCCTTGCTTTGCCACCGGACACTCTCGACACGTTAACACCATTGTCCTAACAACAGTGTGGAAGGGGAAAATGGAGGGAAGGTGGATAAGTAACCTATGCACAATGGCCCATCCAGCAGGAAGCAGAGCTCAGCTTTGAGTCTAGGGCTCTGGCCCTCAGCCTGAGCCTCTACTGATACTGAGGGGTAGTGGGACTGTGGGGAGAAGTGAGAAAGGGTGGCTGGCAACTGGGAGGGCAAGTTGATAAGGTGGACAGCAGGACCAGATGAGCAGGTGACACAGCAGAGAGGGAGGAGGCCTTTGACAGGCCACTGGAAGTCACAATGGAGGTGGCTATCAGTCTCC